CTGTCTATTTTGTATTATTTAAACAGCTAATGAAAGCTGCTTAGTTTTTATGTATTTTCCACGGCTGGCAAGCAAATTATTTCCTTTTATGAGCTTTCTATTTGTATTATGTAAACAGCAAATTGAATGCACCCCCCCCCCCCCCCCCCCCCCCAAAATAAATAAATAAATAAAAATTATGATATTTTATCTGTGATATGAAATGGGTTGTAAGTTCTCAACAATTATAGATTGATTAATTTCTTATTGACGGAATTTTGTCTCTAGGAATAATTCAAGCATATTTTACTTGTATTGCATCATATCTATTTGTTATTTGTCTTGGTAATGCTAGCGAAAGTGACTGAGTGGTCCTTTTACACTATATACACATAAAAATCTCCATAATTCCTAGAAACACTTTGGTAACCCTACGGTAGCTGTTGAGAAAATCCAACAATCCATTTTCAGCAATTAGAAAACCATCAGATCTCCTGTATCTATCACGAATCCATATACATCCTTTTAGGCGTTAGCCCATCACATAAGATAATGGAAAACATAATTCACAGCGTCTAAGCATATCATTGCATAATCTAATGCAGTTTGCGAACTTGAGACTTAATGTGTAGCATGTAACTAGAGTCGCATTCTTCCACAATCACCACTGCCATGGGGCATGATATTTGAAGAACACAAGTGAAAAAAAAAAAAAATTAAATGCCAAAATATTAGATCAAAATTACCACAAATCATAAATTTAGCAAACAGAAAGGTCCTAAATCCAAGAACACTTTGCATGTTGTCAATTGCTAACCTCTGTTACATAGAACACATTGTTTTGGTTTATGGACTGAGTACAAGCAAGTGTTAAGCCACATATTCAAACATGTAGTAAGGTAGGGATACATTTATTAAATCGCATAGTTGAAAGCGTTAAGGTACTTACAAATGAGAGTGATTTTCTTTTAACAAGTGATGATGAATGATATGTACTTTTCTCAAAACATACAAGTTCTCCGTTTTTATTTTTTATTTTTTAATTTGTGATATTAAAATTAGTTATGGTAAAACATAAACTTAGGCCAGTTTGGTTGGAAAGAAATGGAAGGAAAAGAAAAGAAAGAAATTGGAGGGACATGGTTATTTGTGTTTGGTATTAAAACTTTGGAAGGAAAAGAAAGGGAATGGAAGGATTTGGAGGGTTTGGAGGGATATATTAAAGCTTGATGAGTTGTTTTTGTTATCCTTCCAATTTTGCCCTTATTTTTATAATAGTTAAAATCAATGGAAAAGGGTATGGTGGTAAATTCATTAAAATATTTTCCTTTCCTTTACTTCCCCAAACATGATTACCATACTTTTCTTTCTTTTCCTTTATTAGTCAACCAAACACAATAAGTGGTTCACACCATCCTCTGTTACATAGAACACATTGTTAGGGCATTCTACTTAAATCTTTTCCTTTAGAAAGAACAATTTTGTTAGATTTTAATTCATTGTTACTTACCTGTTATAAAGAAAAAAGTAAATTTAGTTTTCAAATTTTAAACTGTAAGGTGCCCTCGAACTTGTGTTCCAGAACAAAAATCACAAAGATGTACACATTTATAAGGTAACTATGTGCTTGGCTGAAGTTCCTACTTTGTTTTATTCTACTCTATTGTGTCCATGTTACTAAGATGTAAGTAAATTGTTTCTGTATTAAAAAAGAGAATACCAGAGGTAGAGAGGCAAATAACAAAGAATTAGTAACATTTCACGTGTTGTACCTCCATAATAAGAATCTTTGCTTTCAAAACATCAGTATTAGAATCATCAGTGATGAAGTCGGACATGGTGTCTCCCGTAAAAGCAATTTCAGGCGAGGTAATAGGGTATGTAATCTGCGAATATGAAAAACCAAGCATGTAACATATAAGCTAACTAACAAGAAAACAACAATGTACCCCTCTCCCCCAAAAATATATAATTAATTAATTAAAATAAATTTTTTTTTTTTTTTGACAAGTATAATTAATTAAAATAAATATTCCTTTAAACAGGACAGTGGTGTTTGGAGATGACGGAAAAGGACTTCAGAAAGCAGGAAGGGTGAATCACAGATATGAAAAAAGTCAAACAAATTTTGACTGCATATAAGATCCACCAAATATACAGTTACGGAGATCTATGGTGTTGATAATTTACCCAAAATATTTTATCTTGTCCTGCCATTTTAGAACTATTGTTAAAGCATAAATTTACAAATTCCATTCTTCATTCTCTTTCATTTAATAAAATAAAATAAAATAAGTTCTGAAATTCAACATTATGCTTCATCAAGTACTAAAATTCAACTTCTACCTCACAAAATTTCTTTAAAACAAAAATTCAAAAAACCTTCGATGTATAAAATTGACAACTAATAAAGAATTAACTAACAAAAACCAAACTCTTTTACCAAAAAAAAAAAAAAAAATCCTAAAGTGATACTTCTAGAGGCCCGACAATTGACAGAAAGTAAATATTAAAACTTTCGCTAAGGTCCATTTAGATCGAGGAAAGAAAGAGGAAATCAAAGGAAAACACTTTAAAGGAATTAATCATTTTCCTGTACTTTCCTTCAATTCTTTCAATATAGGTGTACTAAAATGAACTTGTACTTCTAACAGGGATACAGATACAACAACTGAGACAGACCTCCACACCTGATGACTTCAAGCTCTTAATCTCATTCCCTGGAAGACCAATATACTCCTGCTTAAGTTTATGTCTGATGGAGTAAATTATATAACCCTGCCATAATATATTTGCAAAATCCGTCAATGCAAAAGAGGACTCTGGGAATATATCATTTCAATTTTCAGAGATGTCATTATGGATACAGAATAAAATATAACATCATAATATCACCTGGCTTGGTATGACATGATAGGTCCTAAATGCTCTTACTTTAAGGTCCTTTCTTAAATAAAATTCTTCTCCTGAAAATATAACAAAGTCTAAAGTTAAGCAAATACAATATACCAATAGAAATGAGCACAAGAAGAAATCTAATGACAAAATACAATGAGAAAGTGGACATTACCCACATTCAAGCCAATTAGCTGATGCTTCAGCTCTGATTGGTCCATTGCCCTGTGCACCTCAAAGAGTTTTTCTACACTTTCTTTTATAGCTGTTGGTACAAAAATAGTAGGGGGCGTCATTCTATACAAGCCACGAGTTGCAACATACATGGGCAATCCTCCCTAAGGAATGAAAACTTATGTCACAAATAGATTCCCACAATAGGAAGGAAGATATCATTTTTGCTGTATAAGAAAAGTGGTTTGCATACCATGGTTAACTGAAGAATTAAGTGGGTAGAAAATTTGTGGGGGAAAATGTCCAACAAGGTGGGGAAAGTGATAAATTATATAACAATGACAATTGTGATGCTGAAATAACAAAAAAATTGTGAGTGAACTCTGTATACCAGGAGCTGGTGGGGAGAAGTGAGAAATATATAACAATGAGATTGTGAATTTGTGATGCTAAAAAAACAAAAAATTGTGGGGAAGCCCAATAAGACAAGACTCAATCCAGATATACTTTTTAGTTTAAACAGAATTCTAGAATGTTTCAATTAAGGGTGCAACTTGGCAGACCAACCCAATCTTTTCACGGGTCTGGGAAGCATATTTTAAGCTCGGGACTGTTCTGGATTGGAAGATGCAGACCCTAACTAAGGTTAGGCTCCGAGATATTAAGCAATCCAAATCTAACTTTAATGGTTGAACCCAATTCCTAACCTCATATATACACACGCAAGCACACACTGAAGATGCAGGAAAAATACTCTCTATTTAGAAAGAATAATTCTACACTTCAAGAAATCTTCCAACCCCCTTCCCTCTATTTTCAGTCTATTTATAGACTGTTACAAATCTTCTAGAAGCTTCCTAACTAACTCCTTGCGTTGGGCTGACCTTTTGGGCTTCTCTTGGTTATGGGCCCAATTCCTTTTATCTGAAATCAGGCTTCCAACATGATTTTCCGGTCCTGGGCTTGACTAGTGAAAACTTGGTTTGGAACGGTTGCTCTTGCCCGACCCGTTATTAGCAATCTGGATCGCGCCCGGCCCAATCCATTTTTGGTGTCTTCATCTGCCCCCATAATCTGTCCCTAATTAATTAGGGTGAGATTATCGAAAAGACATAATCATGATGTGACAACTCGAGGTGATGACATGGGGAAGCGAACGGTTAGTTCAGAGAACGGTGCTTTGAGATTTGCTGCACCATTACTACCGTGGTTTATTGGGCGTTGAGGGTTCTTCTCCAAGTGCTGTGAGTTCTCCCGTTGCCTGAACTCGTGTTTCAGAGAAGAGCCTGGGCAAGAGGCCTCAACCTGAAGGTGGCCATGGTCAAAGCGCTTTTCCTCCGGCCCAAAGGGCTCAGTCTTTCAGGATCACCATGACTCTTCCTTCCCCTCAGGTAACCATTCCAGAGGGTGAAGTAGCCAGAACCTCTGCCACTCCATGGCGTCCCTTGCTCAAACGTAGAGGTTCAGAACAAAATGACCTTCAATGAGATGTACCAACGCTTCCCAGCAACTGCTGTTGAGGTAATTCTTCCTCTCCTTTTCACCTTCTGTTTTTCCCGTTCTGATTATTTGACACTTGTACTTATCCGAACATCTGTGTCTTTGTGCAGACTCTATTTGGGATGTTCACCTTCCAAAAGAGTATTGAAACTTTGAAAGAAAAGCTTAAAGTTCCCTCTACCGGTCTCAACAGATCCGTCAAAGCTGAGCAAGAAGCAAAGGCTAAAAATACACCACTGTTGGTCAGGCTGAATGAATAAGATAAGGAGATCGACGCTATGAGGGCTGAGAGGAATGCTCTAAAGGCCGAGCGGGATTCTCTCCAAGGTGAAATAGACATTCTGAAGACAAAGAAGAACGTTGCGCAGACAGGAAGGGATGCTATGAAGGCTGAGAAGGGGAATATTCAGCGCACTCTTATTGCTGAACGGTTGACCCATTCTGTTTCTGTGAAGAGATTCTCGAACGAGCGCACCGCTCTGCTGAACATCATAAGCAGAGTTGATGGTGGCATGAGGGCTCTTCACGCGCACTTTTCCAGGATCGGGGCTATCAGATACGCTGAGGGATATAGAGATGGTTTTATTGACCGTTCTCCTCCTGAAGGCAAATCAAGCTCATGCGCAGGTCCGGATGAGCAGGATGCCTCTTTGGACATTGTCCCACCAAGCGTGTACAAGGATCCATCCCCTGCTCCTGCTGAAAATATCTTTGTTGAGTGCAATGAGATTACAACTTCTGGGGTCATTCCACCTGTCCGTCCTCTGAATGTTCCTCCCCTCACCACCGTTGTTCCTCTCACAGCCGTTGCTACTGACAGAACTTTACCAACTGAGGAGATCATCCATCTTGATTCTCCCTCCAGAAGTGATGAAGCAACCAATGATGAAGAGGGAGGCAATGAGCCAACCGGTGATGATGAGGCAGCCAAGGATGATGGAACAGGCAATGGATCAGGCGCAGGGGAGGATATAACAGAATAATGCTCTGCTGTCTTTTGTATTACTTTCTTATTTCTGTGTCATTTCCTGTACTTCAAGGAATATTTTATGATGATGAATGAAATGATGACTTTCTTTTGCAAAGCTTCCATACTCCAACCTGTGCTTAAATGAACTGACAGTTTAACTTCTCTATTTGATTTTCATTTTGCGCAAGTGTTTGGCGTTCGGCTAGTAGTGCCATTTGCTACTCACTCGGCTGAGTACCTAGCGCTCGGCTAGAATGCTACTTGTCATCTAGCTTATTTATTCTGCGTGTTTGGCGTTTGGCTCGTAGTGCCATTTGCCACTTACTTGGCTAAGTGTTTGGCGCCCGGCTAGAATGTCACTTGCCACTTATTTTTCGCAAGTGTTTGGCGTTCGGCTCATAGTGCCACTTGCCACTTACTTGGCTAAGTGCTTTGCGCTCAGCTAGAATGCCACTTGCCACTTGCCACTTGGCTTTTATTTTGTGCAAGTGTTTGGCGTTCGGCTCGTAGTGCCATTTGCTACTCACTTGGCTAAGTGCCTAGCGCTCGACTAGAATGCCACTTGCCACTTGGCTCTTATTTTGTGTGAATGTTTGGCGTTCAACTCGTAGTGCCATTTGCCACTTACTTGGCTAAGCGTCTGGCGCTCGGCTAGAATGCCACTTGCCACTTACTTGGCTAAGCATCTGGCACTCGGCTAGAATGCCACTTGCCACTTGGCTTTTATTTGGTGCAAGTGTTTGGCGTTCGAGTCGTAGTGCCATTTGTCACTTACTTGGCTAAGTGTCTGACGCTCGGCTAGAATGTCACTTGCCACTTGACTTTTATTATATGCAAGTGTTTGGCGTTCGGCTCGTAGTGCTATTTGCCACTTACTTGGCTCGGAGAGTACGTACATTTGTAAAAGCGTAATTCTAAATCAACATTGTTCAGAATGAAATTCAACCTTTACTGATAGTACCTTTTAGAGATGTGGCATTCCATGGTTTGTTGACCAACCTCCCAGCCATGGCCTCTAAATTGTATGCCCCCTTTCCTATGGCCTTTGCAACTCTGTATGGACCTTCCCAGGGTGACATCATCTTCTTAACAATTCCCACCTTTTTTTTTAGAACTAAATCGCTAGGCGTAAAGCCTCTATGCTTCACCTTTTTGTTGTGACTATTCATAAAAGTTTGCTGATATGACGCAAGCCTTACAGCCGCTACATCTCTTTTCTCTTCCAGCAAATCGAGATTAAATTTCAACATACTATCGTTCTGCTCTTTATTCCATGCCGAACTCCGAACGGTTAGAACTAAGTGTTCAACCGGTATTACTGCTTTAATGCCGCATGCCATAGCAAACGAGCTTTCTTTAGTTGAGCGAACGGGCTTTCTTTAGTTAAGCGAACGGGCTTTCTTTAGTTGGCCGTCTAGGGGTTGTTCTATAAACCCACAAGACGCTCGGAAGTTCATCCAACCACTTACCCTTCTCGTCCTCAAGCTTCTTTTTGATGCAAGCAAAGATTGTTCTGTTAGTAATTTCAGCTTGACCGTTCGCCTGCGGATGGCTAACCGCCGCCAACTTCTGATTGACTCCATTCTCCTCCAACAACTCCCTCAATTGCTTGTTGAATCTGGGTCACACTGGGGTACGGTTCTGTTATGCCTCTATCCATTTGGTGAAATAATCTGTTGCACGCAGAACGTATTTGTTCTGCGATCTCGCGGTCGGGAGAGGGCCAACCACATCCATCCACTATTGCGCGAAAGGCCATGGTTTGGTCATTACGTGCAAGTCTTCAGGTGGTTAGTGGATTAGTGGTCCAGACCTTTGGCACTTATCGCATCTTCTAGAGAATTCTTCTACATCTCGTGACATGTTCGGCCAAAAATATCCTTGCGTCACAGATCCGTTCTGGCGAACTTTATCTGAACTGATGTGCTCGGCTGGTGTAGAGTGTTTACACTACCTATCCTTCTTTTCATCTGCGCTTGCTGGAGGCGCGTTCAAAGTAGTTCTTCCGACTCCTCGGTCGGCTCAGGTCGGCCATGGATTGTATTTATTATCTGAACAGGCTGAGCGTTATGGTAGCTTGGCTTTAGATTTCCCTTCACTTGCTCTGCCGGTCGGTTCTGCTCCACTGTCGGCCCTTGAATATATCCTGCAAACTCGCCCTTTGCTATCAGCATTTCCACTTGCCTCCTTAAGTTCCTGCATTCATTAGTCTGATGACCAAAATCACTATAGAAAGCACAATGTTTAGATTGATCTCTCTATTCGAGAGGTTGTCTAATTAGTAGGGGAGAATGAAACTTATCTTTTTTCTCCTGATATAACCTTGCCAGAGTGACTTTAAGTGGAGTGACCGACTCCTCCTCTCTAGGCCTCTTCTCTGCTTTCCAGAAGGTCTGACGTTGTGGTGGAGCTTGTTTTTGCCGGATCTTGGTTTTGGACTTCTCCTCCGTAGAGACTATTGACGTCTTCCTTACATTAGCTGCTTCTTCTTCTTCCGAACGCACGAAACCATCAGCTCTCCCGTTCAGACGGCGCCATTGAAGATGCAGGAAAAATACTCTCTATTTAGAAAGAATAATTCTACACTTCAAGAAATTTTCCAACCCCCCTTCCCTCTATTTTCAGTCTATTTATAGATTGTTACAAATCTTCTAGAAGCTTCCTAACTAACTCCTTGCATTGGGCAAACCTTCTGGGCTTCTCTTGGTTATGGGCCCAATTCCTTTTATCTGAAATCGGGCTTCCAACATGATTTTCCGGTCCTGGGCTTGTCTAGTGAAGGCTTGGTTTGGAGCGGTTGCTCTGACCCGACCCGTTATTAGCAATCTGGATCGTGCCCGGCCCAGTCCATTTTTGGTGTCTTCACACACACTCACACAAGTTACGTGGAAGCTGGTTCAGTGCCCACAATTTTTTATTTTTATTTTTGTCTATGTCCTTCTGGATTTCTTCATGCTAGTTGTCGTTGCTCTCTTCACGTTGCTTCAGTTTGTTTTTGCAGCTTTGGAGTTTTAATTTGTGGGTTGCTTGTGAGTTTCATGCCGCACTTTATATGGCCATTTTGTCATTTTGTAGTATTATTTTGATGTTCTCAGGGCTGTTTGTACTGTTATTCTTTAATTTTTGGCTTTTTATTATCTCCAATATGCCTTAAGCTGACTGCTGTTCTTGTACAAAGGGGCATGCCCCTCTTGGTTTTGTATATCTCTTACACATTAATTCAAGACATTGCATTGACAATATATTATACTCTGAATTATATGTGTTGAAAATTGGGTTATTTACAGCTTACACTAGAAAAAATCCACAACAAATTTACACTCAATAAACACACACCAAAGTGAGTGGCCTCTCTCTTTAGTCCAACCAATTAAAACCATGAGCATCATGGGTTGTCGCAAAAAAAATAGCAGTGATAGGGTCTTTATAATTATTCAGATACAAAGTAATGATTCTCATTATTGTAAAAAAAATATGTAGGAGCACAAATTTAAACAACTCAACAAAATTGACCCTTTAATTCCATATATTTGACTCAGTTCAAAAAACTTAAAAAATACTCATAATCATATTCTCTATTACTTCAAAACCAAACTAAATCCCGAAAGATTAGATTTTATATCACATCAAGAATGCAATAATTAGACAAACCCATAAAAATCCATTATATATATATATATATATATAGATATATATATATATATATGAATGTATATAAATGTAACAGGGTAAGCAGAGACTCACAATGTGATCCATGTGACCGTGAGAGATGAAGAGGAACTGCTGGGAAATGGCGCGTTGGGGGCATTTGCCGATGTCGAATGCTAAATTGAGCGTTGGGAGGATTACGCACGTTTCATGCCCAGCAATCGACAAACCCTCTATTTGGTACCCTTCAATCTTCATCCCCTTTTGCTGCTTCTTCTTCTCCTCCTCCTCCGTTGATTTTGAATTCAAATCATCGCGTTTCTCTGCTGAATCGGAACACTTCTTCGTCTTCGATTCCATGTCTGAACCACCACCACAAGTGCCAAAACCAGAGAATTTTTAGGTCTGTGAAAATTGAAACTTAGAAATAGGCGTCTTACTATCAGTTGTAAACCGACCGGTTTACAAGAGTCCTTCTATTCCGACTCGGCCCAGTGTCTCGGTGGCATCACAGTCGGCCCCAGTATATATTTTTGACACTTGTTGCAACCGAAAAATTATTAAATTATTTTTGAGAAACATAAAAAAGTTAAAAAGGAACTGCACTCACTGGAAGTCTGGAACTCACATATGTGACATCACACTCTCGTTGGATATTCTTCTCCTTTTATTTTTTATTTTTTATATATTTTTTTGTGTTGATGTTCTCAAATAATTTTCTCTCTTAGTATTTTAGATCTATATTTAATAAAAAAAAAAATTATTAAATAATCTTAAATCATAGTAGTATAGTCCAATATATTTTGATTCGACTATATTATTACATGACTTATGATTTAGAATATTTAATTATTAATCATATTCAACGATTAAACAAACACCACACCATCTTTTTTTTTTTTTTTTTTGGAATTAAATTATAGATAAAATCATAACATGGTATATAGTTAAACAAGTGTGTGATACATGGCACATTTACGATATTTGGATGAGAAATAGCAGATACTTGGGGGAAAATATTATGGAAAAATTACACTCACCTTTTCACGAAACTAAAATTACATAAGATGTTCTTGTGTTTTCAAAAATTACACACACTAACTCTACCATTTATGTTTATATAACATTGACACCTCCTTCGTGACACTCAAACAATCAAGTGTTTAGTGGAACATCTAGAATTCGAGTTTACCTTTAGTTTTCTAGACTGAAACCTGGACAAACCTTTCTCGTGGAACCTTACTTAAAATAAGAATGACTATGTATAAACCAAGTGCCATGTGGTTAAGGGATCTCAAGGGGCGAATTGTAAATTTGAACGTTCTGAGTTCGATTCTCATTATGTACAAAAACACCGGAGTTTAAATGAAATGTGCGAATATATCCGACCCATATATCCGAGGTTTAATTACCTCGCTCATCTTCCACTTCTCTTTCTTATAATTTATTTTTATTGGAGTAAATTGCACCGAAAGAAAAGACATAATGGAGTGAACAAGAATTACTTTAAAGATTTTCACGAACACCACTTGGATCATTATATTTCATTGTCATTATCTTAAGTATAAGGGTGCTCCCAAGTAACCACTTTGAGCTCAATACCAGATGAGGAATCACTAAATGTAATAGGTTTCCAGGTGTTGTTCTATATCTCCATGAATTTAGGAATTTGGTTTATAAACCGAAACCGATAATATTCGAGATTATGTAGGATTATACACGAAAGATCTTTTTTAGGCTCTCTCTTTAGCCCTATGTCTCTTATCCCTGGAAGGTCTTTCTCCACTAAGAGACCATAAAATCATTAGATTCAACATATCATTGTAACAAACCGACAATGCAATTATAATCTTCCAGTTGGGCTGAACAACAATCAGTGATGTCTTTCAAAAGATTTAAGACAAACTATGACATATTTCCTACGAAAGTTTGTAACTGTTGGACAGAAAATCATCGATCTCGATCATTTCATTCAACCATACATAGTGGTGACCCTGTGTTGGATAATCCTGTTCTTAATTCACTGGATATGGCTTAATATTTCACAAAGGTACAACAATTTAAAGTATTAACTCTCCATTTTGGACTAATTTGAATGATTCATAATGTGAATCAATCAACTAATCAATTATTGTGGAATTAATAATCATTAACATGAATCACTAGTTGGCTTTTACAAATCAGCCACCAAATTAAGTTACAGAGAAGCTCAGAAAGTTCATATGGCTTTTAGGCATCAAAATTGAGAACTTACATTTAAAAAAGAAAAAAAAAAAAAAAAGAAGAAAGAAATAATAAAATTGAGAATTCTATTCTTATGCCAATTAGATTCATGAAAAACATAATATTCTAATTTTTTTCATTGGGATTTAATTTTAATACACAAAATTTGTGAAATATAGACTTCAGAAGTAGTGTAGATCTTATCTTGATCCATCATAAATATGACATAATTTTAATACACAAAAAAATCATGAAAGATAAATTTTAGAAGTGGTGTAGATCATACCTGATCCATCATAAATAAAAGAACTTGAAAGTTGAAACTTTAATTCTTGATTACCCCTTGTATATATATGTTTTTTCTCAGTCATAAATAAATTAAGTTAATGTGTATCTTTCCAAAAAAAATTGCAACCAAATCATGAAAGATAAAACCCTCCATAATTTGATCGCCTTCCAAAGTTCCAATTAATTTGATAAACTCCTCTTCCAAAAGAAATTAATAAATAATTATGTATAAATCATGCGAAAGCCACAAAAAGTGATGAACTTCACATGTAGAAACTTTATCTGTTTATATAGGTAAAAATACAGACTTTGTATACCAATTGCATTGTGAGTGATAATATCTGTATATATAGGTGAAAATACAAACTTTGTATACCAATTGCATTGTGAGTGATAATACAATTGTGTTAGTGTGTGTGTGAGAGAGAGAGATTAAAACACTGTGTGAGAAAGGGATGATTAAAAGCAAAGTGGATTTAAAACCCATATAACAAAGAAGCAAATTCTTCCAAAACAACATTGACAAATAACCAGTGACCTTCTATAGATCTCAGTTTCATATCCTACTAGCTTTTCTGCTTCTAAAGAAACCAACAACAGGGACTCAATTTTTTTTTGAAAGCCCTCCTATATCTTTTTTTACCTCAGAACCATTTGGCAAAGCTCACTTTGTGTCCCTTCTCTCCTATTTTTTTCTCCTCTTTGGTGGTGTCCGCCACTGCTGCAACTTTCTCCGTCTTCTCAGCTTCAACCTCATCCGAAGATGAAAGTGCCTCAGCCTTTTCTTCTTCCTGCTCCGATTTAGTGATTTCTGTTGGGGGAGTGTTCTCAGTTTTTGATGACTCCGCTTCTCCAGCCTAAAAAAAAAAAGTTAAATGCATATAATCATGGTGAAAACCTTCTGTTTTTTTTTTTTTTGTCGATAACCGGGGCATCACTAGTGTAAGGGTTTCCTTTGCTTCCAACACTGATCGAGTAAAGTTCGGACTATATTTGCGAGCGTAGCCTCTAAGGAATTGTTTGCACCTAGAGAAATCGATCCAGCTCAGACTAATATTTTAGGTGATACCAGGCCCAAATCTTTTCCAACTAAGCTAATCACTTGGGATTAGCCGTTGAAAACTTAAGTTCAATTAATGCAAGGAATATTTTATAATATTGATTTAATTGAAGTCCAAATATGAGTTTGAATAAAGAAATCTAACGCATGCCTGACAAAAAGATACTTTACATTGTCTTGTAAATAACTCCTGCTCTTGGCTAGACTTGAACTATCAACCTTGACAGAAGTGTCTAAAGTAAGTTATCCAACTAATTCTAAAAGTTATCAAACTGAACCCTAAGTGTTATTTCACTTGCATAACTAGTGAAACTTGAACATTTTAGTCTGCCTACAATTTTGGTCTATATATGATCAACATGGTGATCTTATCTATTTGAGTATATTATGTGTATACATCTAGATTATATCATAATGTAAATGCATATATATATATATATATATATATATATATATAGCCAGCCCATTAATATTTCTATTGTGTAAAATGTAAGAATTTAGCAAGTGTCAAGAAGTAGTTAGGAATTATAATTAATAGATGTAAGATCAAGAACTATACAGCCCATAAAAAGAGGTTATATATAAAAACTCATTTTAAACAAGGCAATCTGAGGAATCTTAATTTCTTGAGCTTAATCTTTCTTGGTTTTTCATGTGGCCCTCATCTAAACATTGATCCAGAAAGTCTTGATATATAGAGCTCTAGTTTATATTAACTTGGTAAGAAGATATGAGAGGGATGATTTAAATTTACCAGAACTCAATGGACATGAATCATATATGGAGCTTATATGTTTATCTATGTCAATGAATCTACATCTCAAAACACATTTAACTCTATCATATCCATTGACTTGCTATACTACAAACGAATAAGAATCAAGTATTAATACCAGATCTACATCCGAATATAAACTAAATTAGCACTGCATATATATATATGTATTCATTGATTCAAATTCAAAAGAAAATAATGTACAAACTTGCACATATATATAGTATGGATTGAAAATGATAATAAGTCCGACAGTAAGACTAATTTGACTGTATTATATGAGTGTCAATGAGTGACGTAAGCTGTCATGATAATGTAATTCTCACTAACATAAATGCAATATGCATCCAAAGCGTCCATTATTATGTATTACGTATAGTATATCTAACAATTCTGATAAATAACTCTAAAACAATATAATTTTTGCTTCAAAAGCATAAATTCAATCAACAAAATATCGTACTATACATCATACATGTGAGAGAAATACCTTGTTGAGCAAGTCATCATCAAAAACCACCTTCTGATCACCAACCTTGTTCTCATCCACCACCTTCTCGTCTTCTTTTGCCTTCTCTTCTCCCTCAGTCTTTGCTTCCACCACCACTGTGTCGGTGGTGGTATCCTCTTTTGGTGACTCCGGTGGTGGGGCTGTGGCGGCTGCTTCCGCCTTCATGGCCTTGGATACACTAGCACAGGCTCCCATTTCTTCAAGATTCTAACAGGAGTCTCTCTACGTGTGTGTAATAGTGAGAGAGAGAGTTACGTTTGAAGATGTTTGGAATGACTGCAAGACTTTATGCTCTGAATCTAAGAAAGTTTACCTTGTTAATTGTTATATATATGACTAGTTTTGATTTGTAATCCCTACATTCACTCTGTGGATTGGAGAACTTTAAGGAATTAATGCCATATAAAATTGGCAAAGACTTTTTTACTCTCTTAACAAAATTAACTTTAAAACTCTTTTTAACTCATTTGTTTCTTATAAAAACAACCCTAGCTGGTAATTGTTTTTAATGGTAAGTTTGCAAAAAAACAAAAAAAGAAAAAATCAATTTGGTGAGTTGATCTATTGATGGTAAGTTTACCAAG